GTTTCCTGCCTGGGTTAGGGTTAGGGTTAGGGTTAGGGTTAGGGTTAGGGCTGTGAGTAAAGCCTTTTCCTGTCCTCCTATCACAATATTCTAATTTTCTGAGACAGTCCTGTATGTAATTCAGAGAATGCGTGATAACTTCTGTACCATTATTCTAACAGTGGTTTGGAGCGGTTTCCTGCCATGGTTAGGGTCAGGGTCAGGGTTAGGGTTAGGGCTAGGGTTAGGGTTAGGGTTAGGGCTGTGAGTAAAGCCTGTTCCTGTCCTCCTGCAGTGCCTTTGCCTCCGGCCGGAGCCCTGAGGATCTCGGATGTGACTCACAGCTCCATGCGGCTGAACTGGGACGCGGCTCCTGGAGCCGTGCGCAAATACATCGTCACCTACAAGCCGGAGGAGGGAGACCTGAAAGAGGTGGATCTGCTTATTTACCTTTAGATATATAACCCCAAAAACACAGGCCGGAGGCAGAGATTACACGTTTTCGGTTAAAAAAAAGCCTCAAATTCCAAAAACGCAGGCCGGGAGGCAGAAATCAAACATTTTCTGTTAAAAAAAAGCTCAAATTCAAGCGTTCGAAAGGTGCTTTTCTATTAGAAAAAGTGGTAAGATCAGGCTGAAAAGGATAAAAACCGGAGTTGGAGAAGTTCCAGAGCGTTTTTAGGAGCAGATCGGATGCAAAATCTCATTAAAAGCTGCAGGATTTATTTAAAGTGTCTCAGTAGGCTCATGTACAGTGACTTTTTTTCCGTCAGATGATTGAGTTTTTTCCATTTTAATGCTAAAAAAGCTCGTTTTAAAGGGTGAGACCTGAAAGAGGTGGATCCGCTTATTTACCTTTAGATATATAACCCAAAAACGCAGGCCGGGAGGCAGAAATTAAACATTTTCGGTTAAAAAAAGCTCAAATTCAAGCGTTCGAAAGGTGCTTTTCTATTAAAAAATGTGGTTTTAAAGGGTGGTTCTGTGATCTGAGACCTGATTGGTTGAGCTTTCTAAGCAGTAAACAACCTTTTTTTTTTCCAAAAGCTGGTGGTTTAAAGGGGAAATATTATGCAAAATTAAGTTTTTAATCATGTGTACATTTGGGACGTTAGCATGGTAGCGTTAACGTGGTAGCATTAGCATGGTAGCAATAGCATGGTAGCGTTAGCATGGTAGCGTTAGTGGAAAAGGTTGTTTTCCGCTCAGAAAGCTGGAGGTTTAACTGTCTCCGGCCTCTTTTAAAGGGCGGTTTTAGGGATTATTACGCAGATTCTGATTAACTCATTGGCTGCCAAAGACGTCTTTTATGTTTTCAACGAGAGTGGCTGGGGGACGATCTGCTAAAGCTTGTCCGTAAATATCAGCTTCTAGACAGAGTATGTAGTAACAAATTGACCCTCTAGGGGGCAGTGCCACTTTTGATGGGAGATGAGCATAGACTGTAGGCAAATAAGAAAAAGCTAACGGTTCTATGAGAGAACATGTCGCCGGTGAGACGCAAGTCCAGGAAGAACGGAATAAGGTAGAAACACATTATTTTTCCTGATGAAAGAAGAGAGTCTACTCTTTCTTTTGGTGTGTTCGGTGTTTACATAGTCATAGCACAAACTATTCTGTGGCTCTAGAAAAATCTGTCAAAATGCTCAAAAAACTCTGGCAGTATGGGACTCTGTTCTGAAAATGGCTGCCAGTCAATGAGTTAAGAATAAACAAACAGTTAGCTGACTGTTGGCTAACTGGTAACTGACTATAAACGGGCTATTCTGGGCAGGTGGAGGTGGAGGGGGACGTGACCACGCTGGGCCTGACGCGCCTCATCTCGCAGACCGAGTACGATGTGGCCGTCACCCCCGTGTACGACGCCGGGCCCGCCAACCCCATGTTGGGCACCGCCATCACAGGTCTGGTTCCTTCTTTTTGCTTTACAAAATGGGGTCAGATCCCTCCTAAATTTGTATATTGTCTGCATTTTCTTTACAAAATGGGCTCATATTCATCCTAAATTTTTGTATTTTCTGAATTTTCTTTACAAAATGGGGTTGGATCCCTCCTAAATCTGTGTATTTTCTGCATTTTCTTGGCAAAATGTGGTCAGATCACTCCTAAATCTGTATATTTTCTGAATTTTCTTTACAAAATGGGCTGATATTTATCGTAAATTTGTGTATTTTCTGAATTTCCTAGGTAAAATGGGGTCAGATCCCTCCTGACTAGGCAAAATGGGGTCAGAACCTTCTTAAATCTGTCTATTTTTTAAATTTCTTTTGGCAAAATGGGTTCAGATCCCTCCTAAATTTGTGTATTTTATGCAATTTCTTGGCAGAATGGGGTCAGATCCCTCCTAAATTTATTATTTATTTTTTTTTTTTTTGGAAAAATGTGGTCAGTTCCCTCCTAAATTTGTTATTTTTTCTGATTTTTTTGGGAAAAATGGGGCCAGATCCCTCCTAAATTTGTTATTTTTTCTGATTTTTTTTGGAAAAATGTGGTCAGTTCCCTCTTAAATTTGTGTATTTTTTGCATTTTTTTGGCAAAATGGGGTCAGATCCCTCCTGTCTTAGTGTATTTTCCTCGGGAAGCGTCTGAACCCCTCTGACCCCTGACCCCTGACCTCTGACCCCTGACCTCTGACCCCTGAACAGACGTGGTTCCGGCCCCTAAGAGCCTTCGGTTCTCGGAGGTGGCCCAGACCTCGTTCAGAGCCTCCTGGGAGCACGGCGCCCCCGACGTGGCGCTTTACCGCATCGGCTGGGCCAGGAGGGGCCAAACAGACTTCCAGTTCGTAAGTCCACCTCTTTTGGTCACATCAGTGTTTTTCAACCTTTTATTTTATTTATTTATTCGAATAGGGACAAAGCACATTAACTCATTGGCTGCCAAAGACGTCTATAGAGGTCTTTTGTGTTTTTCAGCGAGAGTGTCTGGGGGACGATCTGCTAAAGCTTGTCCGTAAATATCGGCTTCTAGACAGAGTATGTAGTAACAAATTGACCCTCTAGGGGGCA